CATAATACATTTTTAATTTGTAGAATATCTTTGTATTTAATGTTCTCTTAATGATATGCCAAGAGTCCTGATGGTGCAGTGATTAAAGTGCTTAGTTGGTAACCAAAATGTCTGTGTTTCAAACCCATTAGCAGCTCTGTGGGAAAAAGGTGTGGCAGTTTGCTTCCATAAAGATTTACAGCCTTGAGGCAGTTCCATTCTGCTCTACAGGGTCTTTGTGAGTTGGAATCTACTCAGTGGCAACAGGTTTTGGTGATACACTGTGGCCAGCTGTTAAAAAGAAAAAAAAAAAAAAAAGGCTACAGAGCTGAGTCTCTCTGAAGTGATACAAAGCACATCCTTCTCACCTCTGATGTCAGGGGGCTGCCCCTGCAGTGAGAGATGACCTTTGTTCCTCTATGCATGTATGTAGCCACAGCAGATGTGTATGGAAGATTCTAATGGATGGTTCTGTGCTGGAGTACTCCTTATGCATGACAGTTGAGTTAATGTAATGTGCAAGCAATTTTAAAACAGTAAAACTAGGAGCTCTGGTGGCGTAGTGCCTAAGGCATTTGACTGCTAACCAGAGGCTGGCGGTTCAAACCCACTAGCCACTCCTCTAAAGGAAGATTGGGCAATCTACTTCCATAGTAATACTGCCTCAGAAATCCATGGAAGGGTCACTATGAACTGGATCCAACTTGATGGCAGTGAGTTTGGTTTGGTTTTTGAAAACTTTTTTCTGTGTTTTGGTGTGTGTTAATTTTCTGTCACTGCATAACATTGCTACATACTTAGTGGCTTGAAACAACACCCTCCTATTAGCTCACAGTTCTGTAGGTCAGAAGTATAATTGGTTGCAACTAGGACCTCACAAGGCAGAAATCAAGGTGTTGGCTGGACTGGGTTGTTACCTCAATACTCTGGGGAAGAATGCACTTCCAAGCATATTTAAGTTGTTGGGAGAATTCGGCTCTTAGTGGTTATATGATGAGATCCCCATTTCCTTGCTGGCTGTCAGCCAAGGGATGCTCTCAGCTTCTAGAAGCTGCTTGCATTCCTGGGGTGGACCCCTTCATCTTCAGAGCTAGCAACAGCACGTCAAATCCTTCTCATTCGTCAAATCTCTCTGATGCCCTTTACTGTCATCAGCCTGAGAATACTATTTGATGGGCTCAACTGTTTGATTGGGTCAGGACTAACTGGATAATTTCCATATTTTAATGTCAACTGACTTACGACTTCAATTACATCTGCAAAATCCTTTCACAGCAGTACCTAGATTAGTGTTTGATTTAAAAAAGCAGAGGATGGGAATTTTGGCAGTGGGACCAGGAAGAGGGCTTCATGCTTAGAATTCTGCTTACACTTTGGGACATGTAGTTTTTTTTTTTTTTTCCCCTTCCCTTCTGGAGTTTCAAATCTACAGTTCTCTGTGCCTGAAAAGCCATATTAAGGACAGTTTAGCCCTTTATATTTAGCCATTATTACCTTATCTAGTTCTGTGTTTTAGGAGCTCTGGTAGCATAGTACCAAGGCACTTGACTGCTAACCAGGAGGCTGGCGGTTCAAACCCACCAGCCACTCCTCGGAAGGAAGGTTGGGCAATCCTACTTCCGTAGTGATAACTGCCTCAGAAACCCAAGGAGGGGTCGCTAGGAGTCGGGGCCGACTAGATGGCAAATAACAACAACAACAACAACAAAGTTCTGTGTTTTAGCTATCCTTAAGATCTGTTTATTCTGTTTGGTCTGAAACTTTTCTTTACATGGGAGAGTATCCTTATAATTAAAGCTGTGCTAAAATTTTCATCTTGTGTTTATTAGAGACCTCAACAAATTGAATAATTATTAAGTATAGTTTAGGCAAGCTTGAATGTATGACCATGGGCTTTCTAGAATAGAGTCCAATTTAAATGACTGTGGTCTTACATATGAGAAAAAAAATATGCTGAAATACACTGCAAATATTCTTTTATATTCTGAGCCCCATTCATAAGTAATGATGATTACATGGTACAGATAGACTTCTTGTTAGCTAGTTAACCATTTAACTTTTCCATTTTATTTTTGTTGCAGCGAATTTGTGTCCTGGTTGTTAGAAATAGGAGAGATTCACAAACCTGAGGAGGGAGTTCACTTGGGACAAGCATTATTAGAAAATGGAATCATCCACCATGGTAATTATTTTATCAATTACTTATTTAACCTATTCATCCACCAATTGCATGTATCTTAATCCCATTTACCAGTTTATGTTTAGTTTATAAGTATCCATGTTACAGAGTCCTATGTTTGTTCGTTTGCTTTTTTAATAACATTTTTGAGTGCTTAATATGTGTTGAAGGATCCTTGCTGGCACAATGGTTAAGTGCTTGGCTGCTGACCAAAAGGTTGGCAGTTTGAACCTACTCATCTACTCTAAGGGAGAAAGACTTGGCAGTCAGTTTCTGTAAAAATTGCAGAGAGAAAACACTATGGGCAATTCTACTGTATTACAGGAGGGCACTATGAGTTGAAGTCAGCTCGGTGGCACCCAAAAGCAACAACAATATGTGTGGAACAATGTTTCAAGGAATGTGGGTTTGTGTGATATATAAAAAACAAACAAACTCACTGCTGTGCTGATATATATATATATATATATATATATATATATATATATACATATACATATATATATCATACATAATATAAATATGTAATTATAAAATTGTTTTCCTTTAATGAAAAATAAATAACATTTGATTTTGGATTTAATTATATTTATATTTAAATATGTAAATCTCTCTCTATAGTGTGTGTAAACATTATATATGTTTAAAATGAACAACTACAAAAGAGGCAAGAATTAGGAATATAGATAACTTACATTGTGGAGGAAGAAACAGTTCTTAGTACATTATTTAAGAGTACTTCATTGTAGGTCCTGTAGGTCTTGAAAGATCTTTGATAGGGAGATGGACATGGGGCATTCTACTCTTAGGAGATGACAGCGCTCAGGCACATCAGTGGGAATGTTCATGGTGCCTCTTCAGGGACTAGTCCATGTGATATTTGGCTAGATTGTATGGCCCATGGATGACATGTGGATGTGGTAGGAAAAGTAGGCAGGCACCTGATTCCAGAAAATCTTAACTCTCATCTCTGGTATGTGGAGTTTATCCTTAGGGAGGCAAGGAGCCAATGACCACTTAATTTGAGGAGTGAGAACTTGGTTTGAGAGCTATTAGATGCAGCAGTGTCGAGCCTGGAGTGGAGAGGTTAAACATTGCAGAGAGCCAAAGCCCATACCTTCCTCAGGAGTGAATAGATAGGGCTTCAGCAGGATATGGCCATGAGCATGAAAAGAAGATGGAGGGTCCATTGGAGAGATTCTGGCAAAGCTGAAGCAGCATATTTGGTAACTATTTGGACATGGAGATGAAGAATGAAGACGGAGATCTTTCTTCTCTGGGTGATGGCGATAGTTAATTTAGGGGGAGGAGCATGTTTTAGAAAGAAGACAAAGGATTTGCAAGACTTCTAGGGGAAGTGTCCAACAAGTAGTTGAAAATATGGTAGTCAAGTTCAAGATACAGGTAGTGTGAGAGACAGATTTGGGAACCATCTCAAGAGAGTATCAGATCCTTGACATCATCAAGACAAAAAAAAGGTGAAAGCAGTGTTAAGGAGAATAGGATAGAAGCTTAAAGAATTTCTCATATAAAATGTAGAGGAACAAAAAGGCAAGGAATTATTAATAACTATGCATATTTGGATATGGTATTTTGATACTCATTTCTTTTCTAAAATAGAGTGATTTGCAAATAAACCAGATCCTCCCAATTTTTCCCAATCACAAGAATTGGTACTGTTATCTATGGAGCTAGATATTATCTTTGATTCATTTCTTTTTCTGATGCCAGCAAGCCATGTGAATTCAACCTTCAACATTCCTAATCAGACCATTTTTTTTCCTTCCAGGATGCCCATGTTTTTCCCAGCCACCATTATATCCTTTCTGAGATACTTAGTGAAGAGCCTCCTGCCTAATCTCTTTGCTTCCATTTTTCCCCCTCATAATACAGTCTATCAATAATGGCTGAAGAAACCTTTAAAACATATCAAGGCATTCTCCTCCTTACAGAGTTCTGGTGGCGTAGTGCCTAAGGCATTTGACTGCTAACCGGAAGGCTGGTGGTTCAAACCCACCAACCAGTCCTCGGAAGGAAGGTGGGGCAATCTACTTCCATAGTGATACCACCTCGGACACCCAAGGAGGGGTCTCTATGAGTCGGATCTGACTCGACAGTAGTGAGTTTGGTTTTTTGGTTTTGTTTCTCCTGCTGACAATCATCTAATGGCTTTCCATCACACTAAAAGGAAAGTCCAAACCTCTTATCATGGCCTACAAGGTCCCAAGTCATAGGAGCTCTGATGTTCTCTCTGAACTCGGCCCATGGTGTTACACCTAACTCATTATACTGGGGCCACTCTAACTTTCTGTCTCTTCCTTGAATACTTCAAACAGGAAACTGATTCCCTGTTTAGGATCTTTGCTCTTACTATTCTCAATCAACATACATTTATTAAGTTCCTTAATATTCACAGTACCCTTCTGGGTGCTAGAGATATAGCAGTGAATGAAATGACAAAATTCCCTCTTTTCATGGCTTATACTTCCGTGACCCTCTAACTTTTAGAAACCCATCGGTCTTGTCATAGCAGCATGCTTCTCTTCTTTTTAAATTTTCTCCAGGCAATAATCAGTCCTCAACTTACCTTGCTTTGTTTTCTTATTTACTATCCCTTTCTTTATCTCCCCATTCCCATTCTGGCCCCCAATCAAAATATAAGTACCATGAGAAGAGCAGCCTTGTTTGTCAGTAGGTAGCAAATGCCTGGAATGTATTTGTTTTATTCTGAAGCTCAATTCAATAGCATTTAAAAAGATACTGTATACATTTATTGGCCTAGCAACTGTGTGCTTCCAGGAACTACACTTTACCAGTAGAGCAAAGGGGAAAAAAATGTGTTTATGGACACAATTTATTTATTTCTTTCCTTATTGACTCTTCTTTCAGTCTTTATATAAACTTTTATGATAGGATTTTAAGGGACACAAAAATGAACCAATGACTTTTATTTCTTAAGGTCTAGTGGGTTTAAGCTTATCTTTTAACCAGTCCTTGAGGAAATCCAGCTGCTTATATATTTCCTTTCTAGAAAGGCAAAAACTATCTAGGATAGGATAACAGAATTTTGAAGGAAATGGAGGGAAGGAAAGCTGTATCGGTTAACACCAGCTGCTATAACAGATAAATCTTGATACAGTGACTTAACATTAAACAAAAAAACCAAACCCATTGTTGTTCAGTCAATTCTGACCAATTTTTCACTCATGTAACAAGCTCTGGTGGCATAATGCCTAAGGCATTTGACTGCTAATCAGAAGGTTGGTGGTTCAAACCCAACAACCACTCTGTGAAAGGAAGACTGGGCAATATACTTCCATAAATATTTACCAGCTCAGATACCCAAAAGGGGTCACTATGAGTCAGAATTGACTTGATGGCAGTGAGTTTGGTTTGGTTTGAAAGTCCAATCAGTGGTGAGGATGGGGCTATGGTGCTCTGCCCCATGCTGGTTTGGATGGCTGGCAGAGTCTCAGACCTCAATGCATGGCTCCCAAGGTTGCCGTGAAAAGTATTGTGGAGGTTTTATTGTTTATTTTGTTTTGTTTTTAATTGACCTGGAAGTATTGTACATTACTTTAGTGCACATATGCCCTTGGCCATACATAGCCACCTTTGACTGCAGTGGAAACTGAGAAATGTAGTGTAGCTGCATGCTGAAAAAACAAAATCTAAATCAATTTGGTGAAGAATTGTTTGATTTCTACCACTAAGGCACAGCTCCTGAGCCAAGATAAAACCTATAGAGCAATATTAAAAACAGAGAAATCAATATGTATTTATTGCTAACCTTTTTACGATGTGGTTTCATATCATATCATATAATATTGTTCATAAACATTAGTAACTTTTAGCATTTCTTTTTTTCATTTGAGGTTTTTGTTACTTCTCTCCCTAATTCCAGTGACGCAAAATCTTTATGAATATGAAATAACAAAAAATAAGGAAATCTTAAAGCTATCTGTCATTATTGATACTGTCATTTAAATTTTTAAAAATGATTGATGTATTTTTTTTTTTTAATTACTAAGGAGCTCTGGTGGTACAGTGGTTAAGTCATTTGGCTGTTAACCAAAATTTTAGTAGTTCAAACCTACCAGCCATTCCGTGGGAGAAAGATGAAGCACTCTGCTTACATAAAGATTTACAGACTTGGAAACCCTGTGGGCTATTGGATTACTTATTATATTCTAGAAAGAGCTTATCTGAGTTTGTCCACAATATTTTCCATTTTGGCTATGTTGAGGTACCTTGTAACAGACAAAAGTGCATTATAATAATATTTGGATTCAGATCTGAGAGAGTTAGGGTGTACGGAGAGAACATGCTTTCAAAGGAGATTTGGGGTTATTTTTAAGTCTTCTTTCCATTCTCCTCTCATACAAAACAGATTTAGGAATTGCTTCTTATTTGCATATTGAATTATATTTCTGAAAATTGAAGAAATAACTATCATAAGTGGGATTTTACTATATAATAATGAAAATTGTGTTACTGTTTTACCTGAAGACATGAATAGTTAGTCTAGCACATTCAAATAAATTGTAAGTCAGTAAAAGGTAGAGTTAGGATAATATTTAGTAAACATCTTCATGGACATGGTCTTTTAAAGTTTGACTTTTTTTTTTTTGTTTGTTTGTTTGTGACTTGAAAGCTCTGAGAGGAAACACAGAGCTCCATAGAGAAGGAACATCCTTGCCTATTCCATTAAAATGCTTCTCACAATATTTTTAATTGCCCTCTTCAAAGTAACAAAACTATATATATATATATATATATATATATACACATTTAAATCTGTCCTGGAAGAGGTGCAGCTGGAAAGCTCCTTGGAAGTGAGAATGGCCAGATTTCATCTCATCTATACTGGTCATATCAAAAGAAACCATTTCCTGGGGAAGGATATCATGCTTGGTAAAGTGGAGGGTCATCAAAAAAGGAGACGACACTCAACAAGATGATTGACACATGGCTGCAATGATGGACTGGCCTCAGGTATACATACAAGGATTGTAAACATGGCCCTCAATCAGGCAGTGTTTTGTTTTGTTATACATAGGATCGCTATGAGTTAGAGATGCCTCAATGGCACCTAACAACAACAACAATATACATAGATACTTTTCCTTTTTTCTAGAAGGTATATCAGTTTCAGAGAATTTCAATTCTAATACACCCAACAATATAATTCTACCATCCCAACAATATAATTTTGCCAACTTTTTTCCAACAATACTGTTTTGAAAAAGAAGTACTAAATACATTTTGCATTAAAATTTATTCTGAAATTTCAAATTCAAGAACACTTTGAGTACTTAACTTCTGAGAATTGAAAATGTTTTGAACAATGGTATCTAATCAATTATTTTTTCTGATAAATAGGGTGCTTAGTAATGTCTATTAATATTATTCTTCACAGTTTGATTTTTATGGCCTGTGCAATTACAGTTATCAGGAATTAATTAGTTGTAATGCCAGATTCAGCATATAAATTTTTTGTCACTGGAGTAATCTCTAGGTGTGTATGGGTCCAAAATGAACTAATACAAATTCTCCAAACTGGGGATAAAAAGAACATATTATGCAATTTCACATTGATAAAGTAATTCCATTAAAGTGAAGAGATGTGAGCCAAACATGCTAGTTTCATTAGTATGTGGTCCCAGCTGCATTTTAGTGACAATAGAATTCCTAAAATAAAGTTGAATGAACCATCTGTTTTACAGAGAGCAAGAAAAAAAAAAAAAAGTTGGCTATTATTGCTGTTATTTCCATTGCAAATATTATTGTAAACTTCAGAGGCAAAGTCTTGCTATACCAAGAATTCTTTGGTGGAGGCAGCATATGCTTTCTTTGTAATATTTTGAATGAGCCAATGATAATCATCTTGCCTCTCTCTGCTGTTTGCAGCATAAATACTTATGTGAGAGTTCAGACTCATTCATATATCCAGTAGGCTCATGCAAGCTCAGGAGACCTGATAATTAAATTTTCTAAAATATTGCAAGCATGCTGTATATAATAGAGTGATTAAAAATTAAATTAAAATAATTAAATTATATAAACATATAAGCACATACATTATTTTATAAAAAGGTAAAGTATTCTCAAAATCACTTCTGATATTTTACTATTGTTTGTATTCTTGAGGTGATTACAGTATATCTATTATAATTTCTGTATGGTGGAAATACTCTTTACTGGTGTGCTACTGTGTGCATCTCCTTCCAACTCTGTGTTCTATAGCAACATGTTAATAGCTTGAAAATGATCAAAGTGGGACTATTTATACCATACCAGTACCAGTGGATTGGTTCTCACGCATGGTGACCCTTTGTGTCAGAGGAGAATATGCTCCACAGGATTTTCAATGGCTGATTTTTCACAAGGAGATCATGAAGCCTTTCTTCCAAGGTAACCTCTGGGTAGACTTGCATCTCCAACATTTTGGTTAGAGCACTGAGAGTACTGTTTGCACCACCCATGAACTCCATTTATACCATGCTGTTCTTGTTGTTGTTAGGTACCTTTGAGTCAGCTCTGACTCATAGCAAACGAAACACTGCCTGATCCTGTGCCAGCCTCACAATCTTTGCTATACCTGAGCCCATTGTTGCAGCCATTGTGTCAATTCATCTCATTGAGTGCTTTCCCCTTTTTCTTTAACCCTCCACTTTACTAAGCTTGATATCCTTCTCTGGGGCATGCTCCCTTCTGACAACATGACCAAAGTAGGTGAGACAAAGTCTGGCCATTCTTGCTTCCCAGGACTGTTCTGGCTGCACTTCTTCCAGGACAGTTCTTCTAGCAGTCCATGGTACTTTCAGTATTCTTCACCAACACCACAACTCAAAAGCATCAACTCTTCTTCAGGCTTCCTTATTCATTGTCCAGCTTTCACATGCATATGAGGTGACTGAGAATACCATGGCCGGGGTTAGGTGCATTTATACCACAGAAATTGTCAAATGCTACAAAAATTAGGACTCCTCCTTTTCTACTCTCCACCTGCACTATCTAGAGAGCCAGTTTTTAATTTTGCAGAGCACTCGGGTTCTATCATATAGTTGTTTAAAAGAAAGCATTAAACACCTTTCTCACAAGATGACCTGAACTCTCATCAGTTAATAAACTCATTTTCCATGCTATAGAAGTGAGGAGAGTGGACCTGAATGCAGAGCTGTTCAATATTTCTCCTAGGCAACAGGAGTTAATTATCAAAGTCTTAAGAATTTGTGTCATAGCTAAATGCTCCATTTTGAATAGATCAAACTACCATTTATTTTGTTGTGGGAAGAAACATTTGGCCCCAACATTTCTTTGAATTTTATTATATCAAGATAGTAATTTATTTCAATGAATCTTGGGGATAAAAAATGGGAATTATTAGATTGTATAGAGGAAATAAATGACTGGTCTTGAAACATAACACAGGGGTTCAAAATATTTTGCTTTCATACTTTTTTTCTTTTTCTTTGTGCATTGACTGGGGGAATAGATGACAAAAGGTTGTGTTGTCTTTTTTGGGGACAACATCCATGTCTCAGTTTTACGGCTGCAAGCCATCAACATGGTTTGGCTCAAAACTCACTGCCATAGAGTCAGTTCCAACTCATAGCGACCCCCTTTGGGTTTCCAAGATGGTAAAGCTTTGTGGATATAGATTGCCCCATCTTCCTCCTGCAGAGTGGCTTGTGGGTTTGAACTGGCAGCCTTCTGGTTCAAATGTCTTAGGCACTATGCCACCAGAATGCCTTATGGTTTGGCTAGGTTGAGGTAAAAAACTTACCATATTTGTGTGTGTGTGTGTGTGTGTGTGTGTGTATGTATTTCTTTAAAGTCTTTTGACTTTTTTCAGGCTTCACCAGATGTAGCTCATGAGAATTAATTCAGACAGCTTTTTCTTCCTTTAACGTTTCTAGCAAAAAGTAAAGGTCAAAGTTTTCTATCTAATTATGAAAATAGAGCCCATGAAGTAAATTATCTGTTCTGTAAATATTGCATTCCCTATGAAGAAAACATTTCAATATAAACTCTTTGAACTTTAATTTACTTTGTAAGACAGCTATCATTTTTATTAGACTATATATAAAATAAGTTAGCCTGGAAAAGAGAAAATTTGGGAGGAATTTTAACACATCTTCATGAATGTGAAAGTCTTATACTAAGGATGATGATGGAGGATGGCCGCTCTCCACTAGTGACAGACTAAGAAATAAAAATTTTTGGTGACATCTCAGAAAAGCATTTCTCAGTATTAGAATTTTGTTAAATTTTGGAATCAGTTACATATTGAAATTATGCAATCTACTCTGGAGGTCTAAATGCAGGATAATGGTCAAGACTAGTGTATGTGTGGTCTTGGACTGATTGCAGTGGGATAAAAATGCTAAAAGTTCCTTTTAAAGCAGGAAATAAATCACAACTCACTAATCTGAATATCTCCTCTTTGGAGGGCACATTTTCCTTGGCTTTGTAGCTATGTGAAGAAATTGAAAATCCAAGTTCTTATATTTATGCAAATATATAGCAATGATATCTGTATAGTAAGTATTGTACATATATGTATATTTTATATATTATATATGACGGCACATAACAACAACAACAACGATATACATGCTAGTTGCTAACCTATATTTGTAAATCATTGTGTGGACATTGTAAATGTATTTAACAATGAAATATACCATGTATCTTTCTATCAAAATGTTGAATTAGCATTGATTTTTAGAAAAGCTTTTTTAAAAAACTAAAGTTTCAAGTATATGAAAATAAGTATTTCATAAATTTGTATGTTTTTATCTACTACATTTTAAATTTTAACGTATTGTTCTATGTTTGTAGTTACGGATAAACATCAGTTCAAACCAGAACAGATGTTATATAGGTTTCGCTATGATGATGGAACATTTTATCCAAGAAATGAGATGCAGGACGTGATTTCAAAGGTAATGACCTCTCCTACAACCTTTTATCCCAACTCGATGGCAAATAACAACAACAACAACAACAACAACAATCTTTTATCAATAGCTGAATTTTTCTTGTCATTCATCGGCAAGATAGAATGCTGTTTAGAGAACAAAAAAATTCTTCTGTTATGGAAGATTCTTAAATGACATACATGAATAAATAAATATCTATTTCTTCATGTTGTTTCAAGGTTTTTAATGTTATATCATTGTTTCAGTCTCTTATATAGTCTAAAAAGACATAATGTAACTGTATTACCTAGAAAGTTATGTCCACTGAAAACTGTTTCACATATAGCATGATGTGGCCATGATACTTGACATTATATATTAAGATTTTATGTTTTTTTTTTTAAAATAATTTAAAACTCCCTTTGTATACTCTTATTTTTAATGAAGTCAATATTTTTATAATGTAAGTCAACATTTGAATACTTTTTAAAATGGTTGAAGTTGTGTAATAAATGAATTCAGGATGTTGACAGAAGATCATTTGTTATTTCAAAATTTAATTGACTTGTTCTTTGAGCGATCTTACTTGCTTTTGACATATCTTTATTATATGTAGGGTGTAAGACTCTACTGCCGTCTGCATAGTCTGTTTACTCCAGTGATAAGGTGAGTCTGGTTTCCAAGTTCTGGGAAACCTAAATGGAGATTTTTATATTACATATTTGGTAAATTCTATTCAGCTAGAAGTTGATAGCTTATTTTGTTTTTCTTTCAAAACTAAAAAGTTAACTTTAAAAAAATGACTTTAAGTAATACTTTATCTTAAAATATCCCTAAATTTTTCTGAGGCTCTAATTATAGAATTTCTTCCAACTCTTTTTTTTCTTCTGATTTCTAGGATCCTTTGCCTTTGATTTATAGTAAATTTTAGACTTTATAATGAAATTACATATATTCAGGTAATAATATATAATAGTTGACTGAATGAGAGTTGGAGATACTGTATATATTTACACATTAACCATTATGATTGCTTGTATATTGATTTATTTTATTAAATTTTGTAATTAATCGAATCTTAGCATGTATTTTACTTCACAGTATTTCCTCCTAGTAGTCTTTTATCCAAAGAAATGTATTTTGCTTGACAATTGAGAATTATTTTGATTATAATTTTATTCCTCAACCATATTTTTCTTTCTGAAGAGACTTGCCTTTTTTTTTTTTTCTTTCTTTTCTTCTTTTTTTTTTTTGTTAAGCGTGATCAGGGTTAATTTTCCATTTATATCTTTAGAAAGATGGTGGAAACCTTTGTACTCTGGAT